GCCCCACACATTTTAAAACTATAGTGGGACTTCTCAGCTAATTTTGTCTCATTAGTCAGTTGCCAGTTCGTTGTCATAATGCGAATAAGCCCAGATCTGCCAGTATATAATTATAATATTTTTTTTAAATGCTCCTGTATTATCACACTGTAACAGGCTGCCAGCAGAGAAATGCTTGTTCCAATCATTAACAGACACAATCTCTACAGAACACCAGAGGGGAATTAAAATTGGGAAAGAAAATACCTCAAGGGTGGTAATTTTAATGTAAGAATTTAATTTGTTATTTTCCATATTAAGATTTTTGCTGTATTAATCCTTTTATCAGCGCTCAGCAGGTTATTTGCACAAGCATAACCGTTAGGTGATATTCATTTCCAGAATGGGTCTGTGTGGAGCTCTAAACAGTGACTGATGCAAATCCTTTTGAAGGCCAGACCGAAGATGAAAATCTACATATTTTGAATAAAAGCAGTGCTATGAGCCTCGAGAAATGTTTAGAAGTAGTAAAGTAACATTCTGCTTTCTGTAGATAATTATGGCAAAAAAATGAAATTTGCCCATTTTTAACTGTCTAGATGCAAAATTGACTTGGCATTTAATTATGATATTATTTAATTCACTGCCCTACACATAGAATGTGAGGTCTACCATCCTGTCCAGTTAGTGTTGTCCTAGAATTTTTAAAAATATTTTCATACATAATGCAACATGTCTGGTAAGAGTACGCAGGCAGTTAACTCTGATATGGGTCTACAGATCGTATCTTTCAGAAATAGTTTATGCCTTCAAAAAGGGAAAAGCAATTTGTCTTAATCTGGTGGCAAAAGTTCATTGTTTTGCCACCACACATTTTTAAGTTGACACTATTTGTCATTCCCCAATTAAAACGTCTGATAGTCGGCAACTCCTGTGAACGATATGCTTGGATGTAAAGGAGAATGGTAGACCATGCACATTCTTTGCTACTTCCACAACTCTCTGCCTCTGGATGAATCCTCCTCCAAGCAGCCTGACTGAAACCATCAGCTTCCAGTGTGAACGTCCACAGGAATGAACTGTCCTATCACTCTATAGTGAAGGGTGCTGACTGATGTGATTGAGTTGTTTCTCAATGTGAAAATAAGCTAGAATATTTACAGAAGGAAAATGAGTGTCAAGCCTGTATTTTAAATGATGAAGAAAACTATCGGAGTAAATCTTGTAAAAGTTATGTGCTTCCAAATATTGTTGCAACGTTAACAAAAATAGACTTGTATTAATCTAAAATGGGCTCTCAATATCTCTTAGTACCTTTCAGTCTTTGTTTTTTGAGTAGATATTTCTGAATCTAGAAAAGCCAAGAGTCACTATGGCATTACAAACGAGTGACAAGGCGACAGAAGTTGCACATTTTCATGAAAAATGATTTGTTTCTCTGTATATAGACCCTGAATATATTTGTAAATGGTTCCTTACTATATTGAAGCCAGGAATCACAAAAACATCATTGGAAAAACTGAATTGGCTATCTGTTAAACTCAATTCTGAACTAGAATATGTAAATCATCTCTGTAGCTCTGATACTATTTTGACCCATGTGTTTTCCTTCTTCACCAGTGTCTTCTGTTTTCACCGTACCCAGTGTGAAGCTGCAGCCTGAGATAGGTGACAGTTCAAAGGTTTATGGAAGAAGCAGCAATCATGGCAAAAGTTTTTTGAACCACAAACACTGAGGGATTATTGTCCTCACCTGCATTACAAAGGTAAGAAAATAACACTACCGAGTCATTCAAAAAAAAGTTTATCCTATCCACAAATTATTTGAATAGGCTGCACTGTCATTCTTTCTATTGTATCTTTGATATTTGGAACTGTGATAGCTATGACTTTATAAATAAATAAAGCTCACTGGCTGCACAATTTTTACAAATATTTGTTGCAGCAAAACCTTCGGTTTCAGTTTCTCACGATAGTCTCAGTCTGATTTTTGGCAGTGTGAATAAATTATTTGTATTATTTGACCACCTCCTCCTCCAGGCAAAAATCAAAATTGGCACGTTCTGCTTCGGCTGCATGCTATGGCAATGCATTCTGCATCCTCTGTGCGAAAATCATTTTGAAAATAATAATTTGAGGAAACAGTAGCTCTGTAATGTGGGGCTTTTACAACTCCCTTTCATGCTGGGCTAAGAGTGAAATGACATATCCAAGTGTAGGAATTGGCTGTGAAAGATTTCAGTACTGAGCATATTCGTGCAGTTGTAAATGATGGTCAACACAGACGTGCAAGCTGCAACTCTGATTTGCAATGTTACACAATGTAATTGGCGATACTTTTGTTGACTAGTTCAGTGAGATTGCTACACTGGAAGCTGTTGAACACTGGTACATTAAATTACTGAGTGTGCACCTTACTCTTAAGGCCACTTCCTTCCACTGTAACTGAACAATTCTTTTGGTGATTTCATTCCTGCAGCCCCAACTAATCTTCAACCATATTTCCCTGATTTCGAGTAATATAGAGAAAATTGTAACAGTAGAGAATTTGAGCTGTGCTGTAACATTTGCAAACTTGCCCTTACAGGCATTTGTCTAATGTGTTTCTTCCTACAATGCTAGCCTATCCTTCTAAAATGTTGCAGAGTTGGAATTCCCCAAATTTTTCACCCCTAGCTGAGGCTTGCCATTATAGACTGCTAGTGAATCCAAAGATGTAAAAGAGACCATGGCCAGGGTTGTACTGAAAGACAGTTGTTCTGCCCTAAGATAACAAGGTGTGGAGCTGGATGAACACAGCGGGCCAAGCAGCATCAGAGGAGCAGGAAGGCTGACGTTTCGGGCCGAGACCCTCCTTCAGAAATGGGGGAGGGGAAGGAGGTTCTGAAATAAATAGGGAGAGAGGGGGAGATGGATAGAGGAGAAGATAGGTGGAGAGGAGACAGATGGGTCAAAGAGGCAGGGATGGAGCCAGTAAAGGTGAGTGTAGGTGGGGAGTTAGGGAGGAGGTAGGTCGGTCCAGGGAGGACGGACAGGTCAAGGGGGCGGGATGAGGTTGGTAGGTAGGAGATGGGGGTGGGGTTTGAGGTGGGAGGAGGGGATAGGTGGGAGGAAGGACAGATTAGGGAGGCAGGGATGAGCTGGGCTGGTCTTGAGATGCGGTAGGAGGAGGGGAGATTTTGAAGCTTGTAAAGCCCATACTGATACCATTGGGCTGCAGGGCTCCCAAGCAGAATATGAGTTGCTGTTCCTGCAACCTTCGGGTGGCATCATTGTGGCACTGCAGGAGGCCCAGGATGGACATGTCGTCTGAGGAATGGGAGGGGGAGTTGAAATGGTTCGCGACTGGGAGGTGCAGTTGTTTAGTGCGAACCGAGCGTAGGTGTTCTGCCCTAATGTGTTTCCAGCAAAATAACCTTCATAGGAAAGAAATCTAAGCTTAGGATGGAGGAGGAGGATTTTAAAAAAAGGAGCAAGTCATGCCAGAACTAGAAATATTTTGTTACCTATCATTTTGCTAACTTAATAGAAGTAGTGTGATTGAAATGATTTTTTTAAAATGGTAAGGACTGTTACTTTCACACAAAATAGGGTGAATCACAAATTGGAGTAGAATGAAAGTTGTATTTTCTTTGATCAAATGTAATGACAAACAAAATATGTTCAACACAATGCTTTGCCGGTTTGTCTCCATAAAACTCTATTGTTCTTCACGTTGATCAGTGCTCTGACATCAGTGGATCCATGACTCATTCAATAGATATCACCTGACTCTACCACAAAAATTGTTTTTCAATTTAAGTAAGCCAATTCACTGGCTTTAATTGAGTCTTTGTCAAAAATTTTTGGCACTGAATGGTGGAACATCAGGCTTTATAACAAGGATGCCATTGCTTACATGAATATTTCTGTTTTTAAAACAACACCGTATGAGAGATGAAATGGAATGCTTTTGCTGGAGAGGCCGCTTTTAGTTCATTGGGCTGAACCATTGCAGTTATTTGATATTTGACATCTTATTTATAACAGGAATGATTTAAAAAAAAACCCTGCTGATCTGTAGTCTGCATATTGCAAATGGGAGAAATACTTGCAAAATGAGGCTTATAGATTTGTGTTAATCAACAAAATGTGTCCTGCTCCATACCACTTGTATTACAAGTCTGAAATGCGTTATTCCTTCACGTTTGCAAGTTTTTGATCAAATATCTAAGGGGTTTTGCATGCTAAGAGTGCAATCTGAATGTGTTAATGGACTAGTTCTTACTGTAAGGTAGTGGCTTTTTAATGTGTGACTGTTTAATATTTTGGTGCTGTACTCATCATTTTGGATCAGGGATCTGCCTGTAGCAGCAAAACATGAAAAAAAATCATCAAATTAGTTTTGTTACCTTTAAATCTATTTTCAGGTTGTAAAAAGTGTACCAACAGTGTTATGATCTGTGTTTTCTCTTTGTATATTGACCTTTGTTCACAATCCATTCCAAATCAAGGTCCTTTAGAATTTCTGAAGAAGAGTCTAGGCCCGAAACATCGGCCTTCCTGCTCCTCTGATGCTCATTGGCCTGCTGTGTTCATCCAGCTCTACACCTGGTTATCTCAGATTCTCCAGCATCTGCAGTTCCTACTATCCTTTAGAATCTGTTCATTTGAACAACAACCTTCATTTTGTTCATTAAGAGCAGAAAATGTTGGTAATACATCCAGTATCCAGGTAGAGAGAGAGACACAGATTTCAGTTCGATGCTGTTTTATCAGAATTTTACAAAGATGAGTCATTGACCTGAGGCGCATTAGCTCTGCCTCTTTGTACACAGTCTACAAGGCTGGTGCGGGGCCTGTGTTGGGAGCCAGGAGTTGTTTGTCTGGGTGCTCGGTATCAGCCTCCTGTCTCAAAATCCTACTCGGGGCTGCAGATTTTGGCAGAGCGATTAAAGATTGAAATCTCCCTTTTGCCTCACTATGGAAGGCAAGGCATTTTGCCATCCGCCTTAACCCTCTGTCTGTGTTGTGTCTCAACTGGTGATAATATTCTCCCTCTGTAAAATGATCATTGAATAAAGTTCCTAGAATCCTGTAAATGCCAACTTCAGTTCAGGTATTGGGCCTGAGATTCTTTTGCTGGCTGTTTTAATCCAATAGGTTTGTTGGTGTCAAAATGACTGCAATTGAAAGTTAGATTTTCCAGTCTCAATCAGGATGGAATGGAGGCAAGGACATCGAAGAAATGGCGCCAGGAGCCTGTGTACTGGTTTGCTATCTCCATTCTCAACTCTGACATTTTCGGGGATAGGGGAGGTTGTCTCTTTCACTAATTGGATATATTGAGGTCATTAGGGAACAAATTAAGAACTCACCATCTGACTTCGAGATTTTCCACAGTTATGGACAGCTGTTAGGAGCTTTCTGAAGCTGGTGGGTACACGAGCAGTAATACTGAATCAGTTTTATTTGATGAATAAAAGTGAAATCTTCGGAGAAAACAAACTATTGAAAAGCAAGGAAATTGCAATAGCCAAACGTCTGCTACCCTATCACGGGTCCCAGCTCTTTCTTTGCCAGGGCCATTTTGAAGATGAGGACCCTGCTTTATCAGTCTGGGCAGGATGCTGTTTCTAGGCTCGGTGAGACTCGATGGGCTGAAGGCCTCTGCCTGCACTATAGGGATGCTGTGATTCTAACAGTAAGAATTCCTCTGTTTGTTCTGCAATAAAGTGAGGGAGATTTTCAAGCTACCGATGAGCAGCACGGTGGCTCAGTGGTTCACACTGCGGCCTCTCAGCTCCAGGGACTTGGGTTCGCTTCCAGCCCTGGGTGACTGACTGTGTAAAGTTTGAACATTCTGTCCCCAGGTCTGCGTGAGTTTCTTCCGGGTGCTCCGATTTACTCCCACATTCCAAAGATGTGCAGGTTAGGTGGATTGGCCATGCTAAATTGCCCATAGTTTCCAGGGTTGTGCAGGCTAGTTGGGTTGGCCGAAGTACATGTGGGGTTGTGGGTGGGGGCTGGGTCTGGGTGGGATGCTCTTTGGACGGTCAGTCCAGACTCGATGGGTCGAATGGCCTCTCTCCTTACTGTAGGGATTCTATGATGCTCCACTTAAGTTTCCCTTCTTGTATTAGTTCTTTTGCTTCGGTATGGGTCACCTTTTAATTCTTGTACTTTCTTTGTCAACTTGCTATGTATTTAAATATTCTCTGAAAGCAAACGAATATGGTGTTTTTGCTTAACATTTATATTACTCATTTGTATTTTTTTTCCTCTGTACATTTGACATGAGTAAAGTGCTACCTGCATCAAATAGAAAGACTCCTTACTGTAATTAGCAACCATGATCTGGGTTCCCTTTTTGGTTTCTTCTTAGCCATAGTGCGACATTGGGGTAGATTTATGCTTCCCTGCTATCCAGTGTTTAAAAAATGGGGGACAACAAGGTGCAGGGCTGGATGAACACAGCAGGCCAAGCAGCATCATAGGAGCAGAGAGGCTGACGTTTCGGGCCTAGACCCTTCATCAGAAAAGGGGGAGGGGAAGGGGGTTCTGAAATAAATAGGGAGAGAGTGGGAGGCGGATAGAAGATGGATAAAAGAGAGGATAGGTGGAGAGGAAACAAACAGGTCGAAGAGGCGGGGATGGGGCCAGTAAAGGTGAGTGTAGGTGGGGAGCTAGGGAGGGGATAGGTCAGTCCAGGGAGGACGGACAGGTCAAGGGGGCGGGATGAGGTTAGTCGGTAGGAGATGGAGGTGCGGCTTGAGGTGGGAGGAGG